CCCCGGACCCGCCCTCCCCCGACATGGCGAGGTCCGGTGCCCTGCTGGCGCCTCCGGCTCCGACGTCCCCGCCACGCCTGCTCCTGGTGGCCTCCGCTGATGTGGCCACCCCTGTCGCCTCCCACCCGCCTCAGTCGGTTCCGTACGTCCGTCGGGCTCGGGCCTCGTCGACTCCGGTGACTGCCTCCCGCCGCAATGCCCGACTCGACGCGGACCGCCCGGCCGGCCTCCCGGTTCCGTCCATCTCCGAGCGGGCTAAGATCCGGGCTGCGGCCCGGAACCTCGAGACAGGTGCGTCCGACATCCCCTCCAGTTCTTCCAGTTGTTCGTTCTCTGCGCTCGAAGCGATCCCGCTCGGCCGCCTCGCCAAGGTGGCCCTAGACTCGGCTGTAGTTTTCAGGGGGGAAGTGGGTCCCCCTTAGAGCAGATTGCGGCTATCCAGGCTCGCGAGATACTTGACGGGAAACTCGCCGAAACCCGGGCCCGCCTCCTCCGCACTCCGGCACCCCAGCCCCCTTCTGGGCTGCCTGTTGGGGAAGTCCGTGGCCACACTCGTTCTCGCACGGCCGCTCTCAGAGCTCACAGCGCATCCATCGTCCTGGGGTCAAGCAGCCCCTCTATGGCGGTTTAGATGCGCGCCCTCTTTTGGAACATCCGCGGCTTCGGCCATGACGGCCGCCGCCGCCAGCTAGTTGAGTACATCCGCGACGAGCACATAGACATCATCGCCATCCAAGAAACCATGCGCACGGAGTTCTACTCCCGAGCTTGACGGCCTTAGCTCCCACCTGTTTGCCTGGCATTGGCTCCCTTCTAATGGGAACAATAGCCATTCGGGTGGCATCCTGTTAGGCGTAAAGGATGCCACCTTTGAGGTGGGCGGTATGGACCGGGGCGAGTTCTTCGTTAGTACGGAGATCTTCGAGCGGGCTCTCAATTTTAAGTGGGAGGTCATCATAGTCTATGGACCGGCGGATCACCGCCGCTCCCCGACCTTCCTCGCTGAGCTGCAACAGAAGATCGCCAGCTCCTCCCTCCCTGTGGTCGTCAGAGGTGACTTTAACCTCATCCGCTCGCCGGATGAGAAGAATAACGACAGGGTTAACCGTCCCTGGATGCAGATGTTTAACGACTGCATCGCGGAGCTTGGCCTCCGTGAGCTTGAGCGAACGGGGGCCCGGTTCACCTGGACCAACCGCCAGGCGAACCCGACGCAGTCCGTTCTAGACCGCGTTCTAGTTTCTTCGGATTGGGAGCTTAGATGCCCCCTGGCCTCTCTGCAGGCTATCACCCGTATCGGGTCCGACCACGTCCCCCTCCTCTTCACCGCGGACGAACGCCACCCCCCCTCCCCCCCCCCGTT